TATTGTTTTTTGTCACTTTGAATAATATTTCTGTTCATGTTATAAACAAAATCAACTTTCTGTATAAATATATCAGGTGACCGTTAAGGCCCATCGGCCTCTTGTTTGTATTGTACCATATTTTATAATCCTTTTATTATGTTTATTTTCTCTATTATTGTTTTTTATATTATGAAACATAAAAGTGAGTTTTATTCAATTCTTAACAAAGCATTCTAACATTGCAGTCTGTTTCTTTATCTAATATCAGGGATGGATTGATGCCAGAAAGAAAAGCCAGTATGCCAGTTACAACTATTGTCATGACAATTTCCTGTCTCAGAGGTCATTGGAGGTCAGTAGCATTTTCTTTTTCATATATATTGTTTTTCATGAGGAAAACTTAAAAAAAGGATATTTCTTTTGAGAGGTTAAGGAGAATTGTATTGCATACCATTCCATGACCTTGACATCTTCATTCTAAAATGTGTGCTCAGCATACTTTAGTATTGATCAGTGTTTTTATTTTTATTTAGACACAGTTGATTGAGATACTAATGGACACTTATCTTGTAGATGCTGGCCAGTATGAAGCAGCAGTTTGTAGAGTTACTGTCGGACATCGGCTTTGTGAAGGAAGGGATAAGCCAGAGAGATGTGGAGCGGGCCGGTCAGAGGGGCTCCGATGGGGTACTCAACATCACCGGACCTGATGTTAGTTTTCTGTTTCATAGATAGACAGACTGTAAAATAACATTATATCACATACAGACATTTGATCTATTATAGGAAAAGTTGTAGATAAATCATAAAGTAAGTGATACGGTATTGAATTTTATTTCATATTTGGCATAAAACTTTAATGGCTCAATGACCCTGTGAAGAGAACCAGCCATCTTAGTCTGACTATGTCCTAGTTGATTAATATGAATTATATTGCTGCAAAAGAACACTTTCTGTTGTTATTTAATCTCTTGGATATAAGTAGCAATACAAATATAAACTGTGGTAAACTTTTTTGTGGTATTTCTTAATGAAGTATTAATTTCAACTTGAAGGCCAACATCAACTCATCTAACTGGAAGGTTGTGGCAGCCATATTAGTGGGCGCACTCTATCCCAACGTTGTACAGGTCCTCACTCCCGAGGCCAAGTTCAGCCAGAGCAGCATGGGTAAATGTTATCGGCAGTATTTTGTTGATGTTAGTGAAGGAAAACAGTTAGACCTTGACCTCATGAACTAAAACAACTGGAATTAAATTATTAAAGAACAGATTTCCCGGTCCAAACAGGTCCCTATTCCACTTCATACCAGCTCTGTAAACTTTCTTTACTGAAATATGTTTCTAAGATTTTTATTCGAAAGAAATAACTTTTTACAGTTACATGATTTGTTATTATTTGATAGAATCCAAAAAAGACTTTTCTCATTATGTTGTGAATTACTGGGTATAATTTACAGGTGCTGTTCCAAAACTTCCAAGGGCTGATGAATTACGATTTAAAACAAAAGGCGACGGCTATGTGAGTATGATTTTAAGAATTACATGATGATCAAACCAAATTAATAGAATCTTGATTTCATTTTCAAAACCTGTAAAATTTACTTTAATAGAGCATTAAAATATCAAAACATGTTTTAATAGAGGATTTTGATATTACGTCGTTCATTGACATAACTGTACATATATGGCAATGTTTGATATAAGCAAAATCTGAAACTTGTTTGTTTTATTGCATTCAGCATTTTATAAACCATAAAATAACTGAACATTCTTCTTTTAATTTGTTTTGAATTTAACTGTGTTTACCTACTTAAATATATGTTTTCTATATAATGATCAAGAAGAAAATCTTATATCAAAACTTCATCTTTAGATTCACATCCACCCGTCATCTGTGAACTTCCAAGTTAACTACTATGATAGTCCTTACCTTGTTTACCATGAGAAAGTGAAGACAAGTCGGGTAAGTGTATTGGAGATATAAATCTGTATTGGCAACCACCTGTAATATGCAAACCTCCTTACAACGCCCCTTATTTCATTTGCCACCTCAATTACTGCCAACATATTGTAAGGTCCCTTTTTAGGTCACCTGAGTCATCCGTCGTCCGTCGTCAGTTAACATTTTACATTTTCAACTTAAGCTGAAATACTGTCAAAGGGATTTCATTGATACTTCATGGGAATGTTACTGATAACTCCCTGACCAAGTGTTGTTATTTTTCGGGTCTATCAGAAATCCAATATGGCCACCACGGCAGCCATTTTGAAAGACTATTTCAAACCTAAAGTCAAGTTCTACTGGGCCGATTTAACAGAAACTTGGTAGGAATGATCGAATCATGGTCCTGACAAAGTGTTGTTGATTTTCGGGTCGATCAGAAATCCAATATGGCTGCCATTTTGAAAAACTATTTCAAACCTAAAGTCAAGTTCTACTGGGCCGATTTAATTGAAACTTGGTAGAAATGATCGACTCATGGTCCTGACAAACTTAATTTAACGTTATACTTAACTATTTTTTACTCAAATTTTGGTAAGAATGGTTGACATCATTATCTCCACTTTATATTTCAACAACAAAAATTAATACTGTATGACTCAGGTGACCGTTAAGGCCCATGGGCCTCTTGTTCTCTTAGCAATTCATTCTTATTATGTCTCCCTCAATATAACACCAAATCCTTTCTATATTGCAAAAAAATGTCTGACAAATGGTGGCAGTACAAAGAGGTTTTACTGCATATAAGGTCACCTTTCTTGACCAGCAAGTTGCTGTTTGCCCTAAGAAAAGTTATTTCACTGGACGAAGTGGTCACATTTTAACAACTGGCCAACACTTTCATTGCTGTCTTGTTTAAGCAGCTAGAAGGCTTGAGGAAAGGTACTTAGATCTATCAATCATTATTAAAAAAAAATGAAAATGGAAGAAAATTCACAAAAATATAAAAAATTAAAAATATAAGGAAATTGCATATCTCACTGAATTGAAGGTGAACTTTTCAACAAAGTTGAAGCTGTATTAAGGAACATCTGTTGTAGATCTACATACGAGACTGTACTATGGTCAGTGTATATCCCCTGTTACTGTTTGGAGGGGGCAGTATCAATGTTGATCTGGAGAAAGGCAATTTTATCCTGTCTGTGGACGATGGATGGATACGCTTCATGGCTAACACACATCAGGTTTGTGGAAAATTGACCAGGAAACTGTCAGGAAATATTCTTAATGACGTTCATTTGGATACAAGAGAGTAATTGTTACAAATTATAAGAGTCTTTGTTCTGAATATTTTCAAGCCTTTTTTTGCAGGAAACCAATCCCTCTAATCAGTCATTTGTTTTTGAAGTAAACATTGAATAGACAATAGCCTTCAGAAATTTGTTACTAAATACATTAAAAGATCTTTACAGGGAAGTTGTACATGGATACCAATTCATAGTTGTAAGGAGTTTCAATAGAGTGAGATGAGATGGGAATTACTATGAGGGATTCTTTTATCATTTTATGTACTGGTACCTTACTATGTAAAATTATACATTTTGTAACAAATTTAATTTGGCAAAGCAAAGCATAAAGAAAAGAAAAAAGAAACAATTTTGTGTTTCAGTGTTAATTTGCAACATCATCATTGAGCATCTGAGAATACTTCAAAAACTGTTTACGATTACCGTAGCCGTTCTTCTTTTGTAAAAATATCAGAAAATGTATTTCTTGAAGTTTGACTGATATTTACTACCATTCTAAATCCACCTTTAACATGAGATGCAAAATGGACAAATATTGAGTTATGGGTGAACATTACTGAATGTTTCCATTTTGACCAGGTGGCTGAGCTAGTGAAGGAGTTGAGGTTGGAGCTGGACCAACTGTTGTCTGACAAGATACAGAACCCACACATGGACCTACTGACCTGTCCAAAGGGCAGTAAGATCATAGACACCATTGTCCGGCTCATAACCACACAGTGACCACACCATCACTGATGTAACTTTCCATGAGGAAATGTATGCAATATTAACTGCTTAGCAACCAAAATAGTGAGGTGTCCAACAGAGAAAAGTGACAGTCAACAAAACCAGACTTTGTAAAGGATTCTGAAAAATTATGTTTTGTCAAATAGTGCCAAATGTACAACATTAGAAATGCCTTGATGTTAAACATGGTGAATTTATTTTTACATTGAAGATGCCCTACATTAAACTTTGAAATGAACTTAGTAAAAAAAAAAAACTTTGGAAGAAATAGTTTGCCAGAAGAAAGCTTTGATAGTTTTCTCTCTTGCAAATATTCTTTTATATGTACCATTGTCCAACTTGACCATTTTATCTCCGTGATTCAATGTATGTGTAGTTTATGAGTAAAGCTCAGTGGTATTTGTATAACAGCACATTTTTTCCACAGTTTAACTTTCACTTGCCATGATGAAGGACATTACAGAGAAAATTCACTCTCTCAATATTCCTCTCTTCTGTAACAGGGCAATCAACTTCTTTACACATACGTGCAGGATGCTGTAAATCTATTTTGTTTGTCTTAGATTGTTTAAACTGACCACAAGTCTCGAAAACCTTTTATTAATACATCATTTCCCCTTGTGTGTTCACAGATCCAACATAAAAATATCTTTTTTTAATGAAAAAAAATCAAATTTGAGAAAAAGAACATTCCAAAACTTTTACCAGCTGGCTGTAACAGAAATGTACCTGTTGTTTTATCTGTATTATATTGATTATGTTGATCGTCCAACAACATAAGGACCCTCACAAGCGCAATAGTTTTACCTGGCTATGGTGCACAAAATTTAAGCCTCCTTGACTATTTCTGACCTGTTCAACTGCACAATATTAGCCCCTCAAAATTACACAACGATATAGTTTTATTTCTGACTTTATTCAGATAATCATGTAGTATATCCTGACTGTGTGACATGTGTTGTAACTCTGGTAGCTCTACAACTCTACAACTGTTGGCTGTGATTTGGTTTTTGTATGATGCCTTTAAAATCAATAAATACAGGTATTTCATATTGTAACATTGTAAGTCCAAAAATATAGGATTCTGAGGAATATTTTGTGATTCGAGTCAAATATTTTTGGACTTGAATAAGTTTATATATGTTATGTTATGTACTTACTAAGTGATGAAATTAATTTTGAAAGTTTGAAAGATGAAATGTGTTCTGTTGACAACAGGCCGTGGTAAAGATTGTTATCGCTTGTCTCAACATTATCAGTCTAATCCTGAGTGGTACATGTATACTACACAAGTATACAAAGGAGATATGAAATGTGTAAGAATGAATTAGTTTGAAAGTAGTTTTTGCTGCATGGTGAGACTAGTGAGTGCTTGGAATGATTAGAAATCTGTGATAATAAACATGTTTGAACAGACTCTCACCATGTCTCTGTGTTCTGTTTATATTGGGAGGTAACATTCAGGCCACACACAAGTTAACTTGTTGGTTTTCAACATTGTCTTGTCAATTTTGTAACTGTAAAACAGAATTAAAATTGAAATTTGTCTTGCTCCTGTCTTTGAAAAAGAAAAGAAAGAAAATCCAAAGAACAGATTGATTTAGTGTGGCATTAAATACAATGAAAATGGATGACCGTTTTTGCCCAGTGGGATGATATTTCACAATGCTGCACTGGTGCATTTGTATCTTGTAAGTCATCAGCAGACACATATAACACACTTTCAACATTGTTAAACCTCTAATAACAAACATTGTACATAAAATATTTACAAAATGTCACATAGAATAATTATGTTTCAATGAATTAACTTACTTTGGTTATAGCTCAATTTCTTTATACATGTATATATATTTGTAATTTGAAAAAAAAATATAATATACTCTCCCAATTTCAATTGAAAGACTAGGTTAGTTCATGTTATGATTCTGCTGAACTATTCCATTCAATACCAGGGAACTTTGAGTCAAAGAGAGAAATGAGCTGTTTTGAAAAGCTTTCAGCATTAACCTATTGACCTGAACTTTGACCTTTTAACCTCTTCAGCCTTGTTTAGTGATGAATAATTGTAGCAAATACGGTTATATCATCGATCCATTCATAATTTTCATGTTTATAAACTTCGGCTGTTGAAAAGTTAACATTAAATTGACATAATACTCCTGCTTTTTGGGAAATAGGAATGACAAAACCAAAATTTGAAGTCTGTTACAAATGTCTTGGGTGTCTCAACTTTAAAAGTAATAATTACAAATAGTATCTAATCAGTGACACATAGTTGCAATGTCAAACACCAAAGAGGACTCTTATTTCAAGAATGAATGTCCTGCCTAGTTAAAATGTTTTTCATTTATCAGTTTGATTTATAACGATGGAAATTTGATATTTCCATACTGACCTGTTTTATAATAACTGCTTTATACAAGTGTATATAATTGAAAATGCTAATTTCACTCTTTGCTATATGTGTCAGTTTCACTTTGAAACAATATGACACCAGCCAGGTGATGTTGTGTTAGGGAGTTTTCATGATAGCCATTTATCCCACCATATTCTAATATATTCTTATCATTTCTTTGAAAAGTACACCTAACTTACTTAACTAAATTATAATTGGCATTTAATTCCTCTTTTATTAAAAAATACTCTATAATTATTTTTATAATTTTTAATTTTAATTTTTCTACATCTTCATACATTCACAGTGAATTCAAACAAATATTTTGGAATTTTAATGAAAATCCGCAAATTATAGCCCTTAGTTGTCTCTAAAATTAGTAAGCGTCCATGCTGTTCCTGTGCAAAAAAAATATCTTGTGCACTGTGAAAAGGAAGTCAATATGAACTCCATGCAAGCTATACATGACTTTAAGAACCTTCTTTCCAAGGTCCAGGAATCTTCTGTTATGGACTTCCTTGGATGGATCCGGAACAATATCGAAGGTAGGAACATATATATACTATAACACGTGTTAGCGGTAGTTTCAGTTTCACTTTGTCATTAATAGCTTAGAAGAATTAGTCTAACTATGATATTGGTTAAACGTTATCCATATGTACTTAACAGACCTATATCAGTGACAATAATTACATCGATCACTGATGACGTGGACACGAGTTTACCACTGCTCGGACTCCTTTGGCTATTTATACATAAAGGTGCTACATACATTTTGTTTGGAGGTGGATTTGGGTGGGAAATCCGAGTGTCGCTGAATAATTTTGTAGTATTTTCCTGTCCTGTTACAGTGGCGCATGTGTTTCTAGTACTGTGTGTAGTCACCCCAACTGACTAGCCGAAGTTTTCTCTGGCCCTGACAGTGACACCATGCAGTCTTCAGGTCCAGTACACTCTGCCGATTGAGCTATATAGCTATAAAGACATATATAGCTATATACACCTATAAATTATAGCTGTATTGAGCTATATTTTCTCAGATTTCAAATTTCATTAAATTAAAGCAAAGTCGCATAGAACAATAAGGTTAATGGTAATGTTGACTACAAAAAGCATACATTTAGATGTTTATTTTCATTTTTCATAAATGTAAAATTTCCGATTTCTTTACATCATTATTTTTTAAAAAGAATACTTATATTTAATGTCTTTTGTTATCAATCTAATGATACAATCTTCTTTTAAATGCGACTTTGTTCCGTTTTCCTTAAAAAAGAAAATCACTTGAAAATAGCTCAAACAACCTATTTCAGATAGGTCAATAGAGCTATTATAGGTCTTTACAGCTATATAGCTCAATCGGCAGAGTGTACTGGACCTGGTCTTAGACATTTTGACAGATAGATGTCTAGTGTGGGCCAGACATATCATTCTGTCAAAATGTCAAGTCTGGTGTCAGGACCAGAGGAAACTCGGGCTATCTCAAAAGAGAAAGATTTAGAAAAAAAAAGAGGGAGATCATTGTAGCAGTACAGGGTCAGATGTAAAAGCTGTAACAACACTCTACCGTGTTTATAGAAAATAGATACCCTTGAAGCACCACAACAATCCAACAACGAAAAAGATTAAACAACCTTGAAGACAAAATTGATACATTGGAGGAAAAAACAGATGTTAAAATTGAAAAAGGGCTAGAAAAGAAAAGAAAAAGTGTCTATTCAGACGTGGAGGAGGAAATTATAAATGATCCTGAGACACATGTAGTCGCCTTAGTTGAGGAATGCTGCAGAGAAATACAGGACAGAAGAAGTCAAGACAATATTCCTGTATTGTTTAATGTACTAGAAAAACGAACAGAAGACGACGCTGCATGTCAGGATGAGATGGACATCAGAATGGTTATTAGAAGTATAGGGATTGAAAATCTAAACTTAGTAACACACTTTCGACTAGAAAAAAAGGAGGAAACAAAAACACGTCCACTCAAAGTTGTACTCAATGGGGAAAAAAACCCACAAAAAATATTACTACTTGAGAAGGCGAGTAACATCTCCCGAAGGAAAGATAATCCAAGAAAAAATCACAACCTAAAACAGTAGAGCCCCAAAGCCCAATCCAACGAGCACACACTGAGGTTACCACAAGCCTAAATGATAAGATCGGTACCCAGAGACTCGTGTCACTAGAACAACATGTTAAGAAATTGAGGCTACAAAAATAGAGTTTACAACACCATTCCAAGAATCAACCTGCCTTCAAATTAATCTCAAAAACAATGACAAACTGATAATATGTTGTGTATACCGTAGTCCAAACAGTACTCAAGAAAACAATGATCATCCTAATAGACTCTTGAAAGAAGTAGTTAATAAAAAAACATCACCTCTAATAATAGTTGGGGATTTTAACTATCGAGAGATCAACTGGGAAACCATGAACACAACAGTCAATGTCAGCCACCCTGCATCTATTTTTCTGGAAAACATACAGGACCTTTTTCTTTTCCAATGTGTCGACAAACCGACCAAATTTAGGGAAGGGAATGCACCCTCCTTGCTCGTCATCATACTTGTTAATGAAGAAAATATGCTAAACAAGAGCGATATAACCTATCTCCCCGGTATGGGGAAGAGTGACCACATCACCATGTCCTTTAAACTCAACTGCTATGTCGAAAGTGAGCCATCAAATGCACAACAAACTAGAAACTAGAAACTTTCATAAGGGGAATTACACTGCAACTAAAGAGGATCTTGCACAAGCAGACTGGTCTAAATTTGACAACTGTCTCAACACAGAGGAAGCTTGGAACTGTTTTGTAAATAACCTATCAAATATTGTAAAGAAACACGTATCAGAGAACAAGCAATTCTGAAGAAGAACTGCAGGACTTAGGGTCATGATATTTGGGCCAGTAGGTACCTGGGATGTAGTGCTATAAAGTTTCCTCATTGAAATTACCTTGACCTACTTTCAAGGTCACAGCGGTCAAATATGTTAAAAATTTCAAACAACAATATCCTAAGAACCATTTGAACTAGAGTCATGATACTTGGGTATGTTATGTAGACCAGCAGTGCGAATATTTTTCTCGATTACAGTTATGAGGTCAAAGGTCAACTTTAAGTGCTAGTTGGGGGTCAAATGTCAACTTTGGTTAGTAGCTTTAACAATCTTCTCCTCAAGTTCCATAAGGCTCAGGGTCATAATATTTGGCCAGTAAGTACCTGGGATGTAGTACTATAATGTTTTCTCATTAAAATGACCTTGACCTACTTTCAAGGTCACAGGGGTCATATATGTGCAAAATTTCAATCAACAATAACCTAAGAACCATTTGAACTAGAGTCATGATACTTGGGTATGTTATGAAGACCACAGCAGTGCAAATCTTCTTATCAATTACAGTAATGAGGTCAAAGGTCAATTTTAAGTGCAAGTCGGGGTCAAAAGGTCAACATGGGTCAAAGGCTTTAACAATCTTCTTCTCAAATTCCATAAGGCTCAGGGTCATGATATTTGGCCAGTAGGTACCTGGATTGAAGTGCTATAAAGTTTCCTCATTAAAATAACCTTGACCTACTTTCAAGGTCACATTGGTCAAATATGTTTAAAAACTTCAAAAATCAATATCCTAAGAACAGTTTGGACTAGAGTCATGATACCTGGGTATGTTATGTAGACCAGCTGTGTGAATTGTTTTCTTTATTACAGTAATGACCTTAACTCAATCTGTGATTGGAGCTGCCACATAGCTCATGAAACTAAATATGGACAAATGCAAATATCTCAATATTGGACAGACGAGGGACAACCACCAGTACACTATCGAGCAGGATGATCAGATACACAATATTGTTAAACAGACCTCAGAGTGATTGTAGACAGCAAGGCAAAATTTGAAAATCACATATCAACCTCTGTAGCAAAAGTCAACAGGAACCTTGGTCTCATCTTTAGAACTTTTACATTTATGGACAAAAATATGTTTCGAACACTGTACAAGTCTCTCGTCCGCCCACACCATGAATATGCAAGCGTTGTCTGGTCACCATATTTACTAAAAGACATCAAACTACTGGAAAATGTACAAAGGAGGGCAACTCGTCTAATTCCCAGTCTAGCAAACAAACCCTACTCGGAGAGACTGCGCCATCTAGGATGACCTACGTTAGAGTACATTAAGACACCGAGCTGACCTGATCCAAACACAAGATCCTAGAGGGAACAGCTGACACTGTAGATCACAGCAAAATGTTCACTAAAACCCAGGATTCCAGAACAAGAGGGAACAGCAAAAAGCTGTTTAAAAAGAACCAACAGACAAGTTAACAGCTACAGCAACAGGGTTGTGGAGTCCTGGAATAGTCTGTCAAACCATGCAAGTGGTAAATGCCCCTAGCTAGTGTAAATAGTTTTACACAAAGACACACTAAGTTCTGGTCGAATCACCCTGTAAATTCAATGCCTCCTGCTATTAGCAAGATCAAGTCAGATTTAATATCTTAACTCACCTTTTAACTGTAAGATTTCTGGATTTTAATTCCTCTATATTAATACGCACTGGAAGTCACATATTAGTATAGGAACATTAAAATGCGCCGCAAGAAGCTACCTGAAGCTTTCCGTTGGTGTCGACTACTATATCAACTATATCAATGACCAGTGGTGACCAGATAGCTCAGTTGTTAGATGGTTCGTCAAGAGTTTAGAACTTCAAAGGTCCCAAGTCTGACTCTGTTGCATTTTCTCTCTCTTGTTACAGTTGGTGCTAGTGACCATGCAACCCTCCTTTCAATTAAAGTGTATGCACTTAACAAGAAGACACAGGAGCTGTATTGTCAGGAATGTTGTCTTAGGTATAAAGGTAGCAGGTGAATCTGAACTGGACTGGGTGGATCGCTGCATGACCAGATATACAGTCAATTGGGTGAGAGAGTGTCCATCTATAGTTTTGAAGCCCCTCTCTTTGGCAGTTGCATGTATCCTTTCCTGTTACACAGGACTGGGGTGGATGGTTACTGGTGACCAGGTACAATGTACCTCCATTGGTGTGATTGTCCATCTAGAGTCAGGAGGACCCTGGTTCAAATCCCAGTATGGCTATTGTGGTTTTCATTTCCCGTTACATATGCAGTAAGCTATTTTAGAGGGTATACTAGACATATACAGTGTAACTGAAAGATATATACAAATGCTTCGTTACTTGTGCATTCCAGAACTGTGATACAGAAAAGAAATGTGAAACACTATTAAAACAGCTCTAGGCATTTGTGTAGAACCAAAAATACCCAGTTTCTTTGTGGAATTTAATTAATTCATAGTTTTTCTTTAAATTGAACTCTTATCGTCATGCTTTACAGATGTGTATGAGGAGGCTGAGGAGCGGTCAAGACAGAACTCAGACATCATACTGGACACAATACGGGAGGAAATGAGGAATAGTTTACCTACTAATGCCATCTCTCCTTCGGAACACATCATCACACCTGTAGCTGGACCTGTTAGTATGATACAGTAATATAATTACTTTAATGTAAATATATATATATATTTACACTATATTAGAATGCTAGATAATGGTTTGTAAATGTCTGAAGGAAAAGCCTTAACGACATAATATAATAGGCTGCCACATTTTTTCCAACAAATTCTGACGTTCCTGTAAAATGCTGGGGTGTCATAGTGAGGGAATATTGAATAAGGTTTTGTTGAGAAAAGGTGAAATATGACATGTAAATAAAATGATTCTAAACAATTTGGAAAACAGGAGGTAGGGATTAAATGTGCTTATGCTGAAATGTACAAGCACTCTAAGGAATATATTTATACTTTTAGCTCTGACATTCTAGTGGCACATACCAATATTAGTTCACTGATACTTATAATTTGACCTCTGAACTTATTCATGAGAAAACAATTTCTGGAGTGATCTCCTATACTATTTGATGTAGGAACATTAAGCTCAGTACATGTCAAAATCAAAGGAAAGCAGAGTGCTGCAAACCAAAACTAGTCACTGCAAGTGCCACCTATATATTGATGGATCATACAAGGTTGCATACAATCCTCTCTAAAAGTCAAAAGATCATTTTCAGGTCCAGTCTACTCTGGCATGCAGTAACCCACAAATCCACTTGTTTAAAGTTCCATTTAGTTTTCCACTGTTTTTACTTTTACCATTGTTAGAATTCAGACTGCGATCCCACCACTACAGTCCATGTGGATGCCTTCCTGTTTAATGATGATGTCATTGACAATCTGTGTGATGATGGGAAGATGAGTAGGAACTACTGTCAACAGTGTGGCTCAAAGGAGATCAGTCCCTTAAGTATGTATCTTATGTCTTGTAGTCCCCTAAGTATGTACATGTACATACAGGGTAATGTCTTGTAGTCCCCTAAGTATGTACATTTACATACAGGGTAATGTCTTGTAATCCCCTAATTATGTACATGTACTGTACATACAGGGTAATGTCTTTTAGTCCCTTAAGTATGTACATGTACATACAGGGTTATGCCCTGTAGTCCCCTCAGTATGTACATGTACATACAGGGTTATGCCCTGTAGTCCCCTAAGTATGTACATGTACATACAGAGTAATGTCTTATAGTCCCCTAAGTATGTACATGTACATACAGGGTAATGTCTTGTAGTCCCCTAAGTATGTACATACACATACAGGGTAATGTCTTGTAATCCCCTAATTATGTACATGTACTGTACATACAGGGTAATGTCTTTTAGTCCCTTAAGTATGTACATGTACATACAGGGTTATGCCCTGTAGTCCCCTCAGTATGTACATGTACATACAGGGTTATGCCCTGTAGTCCCCTAAGTATGTACATGTACATACAGGGTAATGTCTTGTAGTCCCCTAAGTATGTACATACAGGGTTATGCCCTGTAGTCCCCTAAGTATGTACATGTACATACAGGGTAATGTCTTGTAGTCCCCTAAGTATGTACATACAGGGTTATGCCCTGTAGTCCCCTAAGTATGTACATGTACATACAGGGTAATGTCTTGTAGTCCCCTAAGTATGTACATACAGGGTTATGCCCTGTAGTCCCCTAAGTATGTACATGTACATACAGGGTAATGTCTTGTAGTCCCCTAAGTATGTACATACAGGGTTATGCCCTGTAGTCCCCTAAGTATGTACATGTACATACAGGGTAATGTCTTGTAGTCCCCTAAGTATGTACATACAGGGTTATGCCCTGTAGTCCCCTAAGTATGTACATGTACATACAGGGTAATGTCTTGTAGTCCCCTAAGTATGTACATACAGGGTTATGCCCTGTAGTCCCCTAAGTATGTACATGTACATACAGGGTAATGTCTTGTAGTCCCCTAAGTATGTACATACAGGGTTATGCCCTGTAGTCCCCTAAGTGTGTACATGTACATACAGGGTTATGCCCTGTAGTCCCCTAAGTATGTACATGTACATACAGGGTAATGTCTTGTAGTCCCCTAAGTATGTACATACAGGGTTATGCCCTGTAGTCCCCTAAGTATGTACATGTACATACAGGGTTATGTCTTGTAGTCCCCTAAGTATGTACATACAGGGTTATGCCCTGTAGTCCCCTAAGTATGTACATGTACATACAGGGTAATGTCTTGTAGTCCCCTAAGTATGTACATACAGGGTTATGCCCTGTAGTCCCCTAAGTATGTACATGTACATACAGGGTAATGTCTTGTAGTCCCCTAAGTATGTACATACAGGGTTATGCCCTGTAGTCCCCTAAGTATGTACATGTACATACAGGGTAATGTCTTGTAGTCCCCTAAGTATGTACATACAGGGTTATGCCCTGTAGTCCCCTAAGTATGTACATGTACATACAGGGTAATGTCTTGTAGTCCCCTAAGTATGTACATACAGGGTTATGCCCTGTAGTCCCCTAAGTATGTACATGTACATACAGGGTAATGTCTTGTAGTCCCCTAAGTATGTACATACAGGGTTATGCCCTGTAGTCCCCTAAGTATGTACATGTACATACAGGGTAATGTCTTGTAGTCCCCTAAGTATGTACATACAGGGTTATGCCCTGTAGTCCCCTAAGTATGTACATGTACATACAGGGTAATGTCTTGTAGTCCCCTAAGTATGTACATACAGGGTTATGCCCTGTAGTCCCCTAAGTATGTACATGTACATACAGGGTAATGTCTTGTAGTCCCCTAAGTATGTACATACAGGGTTATGCCCTGTAGTCCCCTAAGTATGTACATGTACATACAGGGTAATGTCTTGTAGTCCCCTAAGTATGTACATACAGGGTTATGCCCTGTAGTCCCCTAAGTATGTACATGTACATACAGGGTAATGTCTTGTAGTCCCCTAAGTATGTACATACAGGGTTATGCCTTGTAGTCCCCTAGGTATGTACATGTACATACAGGGTAATGCCTTTAAGTCCCCTAGGTATGTACATGTACATACAGGGTAATGCCTTGTAGTCCCCTAAGTATGTACATGTACATACAGGGTAATGTCTTGTAGTCTCCTAAGTATGTACATACAGGGTTATGCCCTGTAGTCCCCTAAGTGTGTACATGTACATACAGGGTTATGCCCTGTAGTCCCTTAAGTATGTACATGTGCATACAGGGTAATGCCTTGTAGTCCCCTAGGTATGTACATGTACATAGAGGTTAATGCCTTGTAGTCCCCTAATTATGTACATGTACATACAGGGTAATGTCTTGTAGACCCCTAAGTTTGTGCATAATGTCTTACAAGTTTGAGTAATCTATTTTTTGGAGGCAAGTAAAATTGTGTTTGAAAAATGGGTAGTTAAAAAAATCCTTTTTCAAAAAAACAACCCACGTCAAATAGTACTTTGTATTAAGGTGGGTCCATCCTTTTGGAAAAACCCATGTCATTTTTTTCTAATTAGGCTTATTTTCTTGCATGTTTTACGTAGATTCCATATCTGAAAAGAAAAACGGGGGTTCTCGACTTACTTTTTGAGATATATCAGCAGTAAGGTAGCTACTTTTCTGCAAATTTCCCCCAAAATATGAAAATTAAGTAAAAATTTGTTTTCTATAATATTTGCAAAGTTTGAGTTACCACAAAGTTCAATATTTTTTACACATCTCGTGATGTACTATTAAAAAGCAGAAATAAAACAAAAATGATTATATTTGGTATATTTATGCATTTTTCATGGCCATCTATTCTCTTCAAAATGTAATTTTAACAAATTTACATCAAACGAATGCATTAAAAACAAGCAAAAATGCCTTTATAACAGATATTGCTTCATTAACTATTATTGTAAGTGTACAAACTAAGTCCCAGTCACTCTGAAGCAAAATTCATTGCTATTCCTTCTTTTTACATATAACTGGGACAGTGATAAAATTTCTGCTTGTTTTGACTTGAATTTGTTGCCAAGTTCTTTACATCTGATATTGTTGCAGCTTTTATAACTCACTCAGCATCTGTAAAACAGATCAAATACATGTTCCGTCATCTGCTGCCCGACCTCCGAGGCAAGGCTGTGCTGGATGTTGGATCTAGGACGGGTGCTGTGCTGTATGGGGTAAGATTGATCACTTAGCAACTGTATTCTCTGTCTGATGTGACTAATCTTGACTATCATTGGAATCATTTGGAAACAAATGCTCAATAAGCATAAACATTTTCTTAAATTTCACTTTATCAGTATTCTCAAGTATCTTACTATTTTATGAGGTTATGGTGGGTAGGCCCTACACCATATATAATGATGGTTGAATTGGGTTATCTAATTCTAGATTTTAATAAAATAATTCTTGAATTAAAATTTCAGACTCCATTTGATTAACTAGCTGTGCAATGTTCGCATGTCAACATCATCTCTTACTACAAATTTATATGTACCCAGAATTTTAAATTCAAATTTAAATGTATTATTGTTAAAGTCACACTTTATTTCATTCTGTTTTACTGTTAATCGATCAAACAATGGTATTTTAATAACATAACAGCATCCCACAATCAAATGGTGCCCCATCAGTCAAGGGACTGAAGTGGCCAAAAAATTCATCTGAATTATCATTTATCAAACTAATCGGGTTTCAAAAGTGTTCCCAGTTTTCTGAGGAATATTTTAAACAAAATCAAAGCTTTGTATTAGATATCATATCAAACAAAACATTCATTCTCAAGCCTGCTGTGACTAACAAACGCTAACAGGTGTAGATTTGAATTGTGTTCTTCATTTTAACTTATTTCCTGTCAAGTTAATTATTAAGGTCGAATGAGTGTATTGATAAACAGAAATAGGAAGTACATACCGAGTTGAAAATCCAATGTAGGGAGACAGTATCACAATTTCCGCATATTTTAATGAGTCTCGAGTTGTGATGAATATTGTATGTTTATTATTGACAGAACAGTGTGTTCTCTCAATATTAAAGTATTTCAAAGCAATCCAGGCATTAATTCAGTAGTTTTTTATCAATGACTCACATGTGTTCATTTTTCTGTACTGCAGGAAACCGGCTACCTATTTCACTACTGTGAAGTTTTTCAAGAAAGATAATTCTTAAATGCAATTACTATGTGTATATGGTTTTATTATAAAATGTCAATTTTTAATCACTTAAAGATTACTAATCTATGTCAGTATCATTTTTATTGACATTATTTAGCAAATATGTCTTTCATTTTGTTTTCAAAATTCACTCCTTTTTACATAAATTTCCATTTAAATCCTTAAAATTCTGACAACCTACCGGGTATATTTTTTTGTGGCAGAAAATTTTCTTTACTTCAAAGCAATATAACTACAAAATTTGGAGAAATTCTACTGAGTAATGGTGACACAAACTGATTACCTTAAGTTATTGACAATAAAAGTAACATTTTTTTTTTAATGTAGGCCTATTTATTCAGTGGTGCAAGTAAAATAGTAGGAGTGGAATTGGACAAGAACTTTTGTGAACTACAGCAAAAAATGGTGGACAAATACAAGATGGTGGACAGGATACAGGTATGTTGAATGTCTGCCTTTTCAAGAAGCTCTTTCAAATGTTCCAGGCCTTATATGATTTCACGTTAATCATTAATACATAATTAACATGAGAATCTGGAGCCTTTGCTGAATGATCAGAAGTATACAATACTGTAACTTCTACACAAAGGGATCTTGTAACAGCTGTAACGAGAGAGGAAAAAGGCACAGCCAGATCAGGAATCAAACTCAGGACTTGAGGACTCGAGACAAATGCTCTCACCAATTGACCTACCTGGAGAACAAGCGATTGACCCAATTCAGTTCTGCTGCATAAATAAAGTTTTATCAAATGTGGATTTTTATAGGATTTGTAGCCTTCCTAATTTGGTATATTTAATGTTATGTTTCCTAAAACATTAATGTTAAATGTATTGAACAATCAATGAACTATCCCAAGCAAGCATTACTCCAAGACACCCCTTCATAAACAGGAAGTAAGACATTTTGATGTATATACAGTTAACCTTCTCTAACCCTACACACTGTGGGACACAGTGTAGTGGTCAGATTACACAGGATTTTTGAATATACAGGTATTATTCTGCAGTTTTCAATAGAAATAGGAAAACACTATGGATTAGATACCATATCGGAATACTCAGGGGCATGCAGATAAGACGGATTTCACTGATATATATATGTATTTACAACAGAGCCACCTCCCCTCCATCGTTGGGTTTATAAATTGTCACGATCACTATACCATCACTGTACCCAGTGTGCTATCAGGTTTTATGTATCTGTCTAATTTTGATACATAGTTCATGAAAATATGAAAATAAGAAATCTCCAAATTGTTCATTTAAATAAGTTAATATTAGCCATGTTATGCATCATGCCAACTGCCATAACTGTTGTTTTGTTAATCCATGTTGTAACATACTTAAATCACTTCAGCAGGCTGTTTTCCAGGGGATATCCAGGAATTAATTTTGGGTGTTGCCCAAAATTTTAAACTTAGTAAAAGACAAATTTTTGTACTTATCTAGAAATAATAAATTTGAATTTTCGTGTCGGCTGTACATGTATACTACTTTGGCACCCAAACATATATAGAACTTGATTATTTCTGAGATTGTGACAATTATAATTACCCTGCCGAGCGTAGCGAGGCGAATTTTTTTCTTCTGATAATGATATAATACCACGGATTTAGATGGCAATTCTGTGGTCAAACAGATCGAGTGAGGTTTAAAATAGGTTTGAGGTATTATTCCAGGTTATATTTTATAACATAGAGTATTTATATTTTATGATGGCCAAATGCAGCCAGTGTTAACAAATTTTCTAAAACAATGGTAAAAATGAAGGTTTTCTGTTAAAATGTTGATGTTTGTGTCATGCCATTCATGTGCATGTAGTTTAGGCGAGCATTTTGCCAATTAAATATTGATTTATTTTGTCATATATATGAATAGTGATTTAACTAGCTGTTTGTCTTTTATTGTTAATTTGTACGCATACATATGTACAAGGGCAACACCTAATGAAAAGGATTATATACATGCTAGTCTTTTATGCTAACATTGAATATGTCGATTCACCTGATTAAGTGTATCGTGCTGTATTGTCTTTGAAATTTATATTTTTTAATTGGTATACTTATTCACTCCTGGTGATCATGTGTACTTGAAACCATAGGTGAAAATACAGGTTTATCTATCATGAAATGGACTCTACCTTTGAAATAACACTTTACCTATAAACATCTTTTACCCGGTGTGTTCTCCTTTCTCCCACTTTTTAAAAAACCATAGAGGCAGTAATGTTGTGATAGCAAATATGGTCTGTTTCATATATATTTTACCTAGTTTTTACCTGTGTTCTCCCACATTACCTGTATCATATATATACAGTACTGTCATATACATGTAGCTTTTATATAGATTTTCATAATATTTAGCCATTTTTTTCATGTCATATACCATTTGAAATGGTACAAAACATACAAAACAGTAACAAATATTTTATATATTTTATATACTTAATAGTATAGATATAGATGATAATGCTTTGATTCATTTAAATTGAAATTTATCTTGATTTAATTTAGGGTGAAAAAAAATCATGTTGGAGCATTATTTTCAGAGAACCTATTTTACCAATAAATGCGTCTTCAGTGTAATTATTTATAACTTAGTATCACTCATTAGATTATTTTCCCCTAAAACAAAAGCATTAGTTATGTTTCTATTTGATAACCCCATATGGCTTGGGTCCACTGATATTTCTAGTTGATAATAATGAATCTTAACACATGATGGTTTGGGTCCATCAACTGACCACTTTACTGGTGCGCATTGAGTCAACAATTAATTATACAAGTATATGAACTTATAAAGAGACATATAAGCTGACAGATTGCAAAGCGATTATTCACTATTAATAGAAATGCATTCTCTGTCTGGTAATAAAAAGTGAATACATTTCATAACCTAAATGTTCGTCACTTAATTGATGCCATGGTGATTAAACAAGTGAGATTGTCCAAGCTATATGTTTTGTAAGTCTCACACATTCCCCATCAACCACCAACATGGCAAATGCACAAATTCAAGTGACGTTATCTTCGCAACAAGTTTGGAAGACAGAACAACAGAGGTGAGCGTGTATATTGGAGATGTACCATCCCCAACTGTCCAGCTACCCTTAGTACCCGAAACAAAATCCCTACTGGAAACGGCCACCATCCCCACAACCACCCATATGATTGATTTGATCAACCTGAGTGCTAATTATAAGTATTCCATGTGTACCTGTAATGAATTTTGTTTTATTTATTTTCATTCCCAGCTTTTCATCTGTTTTTGCATATACATGATCTCTGTCTGTACTGATAATATTTGTTATAAATTGCTTGCTAAATTTAGTTCTATTTTATGAAATATATATATAACATCCATGTAAATGTGTAGTAAAAATGTATAAAATTGATTTAATATGAAATTAATAAAAGCAGGTTTTCAGTTAATGTATTTTGATGTGTTTTTATAAGTAATAAATGGAATCTTGTATATATTAACTTATAATTCCAGTAAATATTACGTAAATCAGGAAATATATTTGTTAAATATTCCTATAACTAACACAGTATTTCCTATTGGTGAACAGGTAAATACAGGTAAATAATCTACCTGTACTATACCAGAACAGACTATAATGACACATCTATTGTTGTCCAGTGTTTATATAATTCCTTTGATCAGAAAAAAAGTGGGAGAAAGGAGAACAAACCTTTTACCCAATTCAGACAGATGGTAGATCACCACGTACACCATGCATGACATTAGAACAATAGGATTAGGTAGAGTCAGTCCGGTGACCCTTGACAACTGACCTGACTGGAGACCCTACTAATATCAGGGATGTATAATATACTGTCCCTGCTAATATATAGACAGAGGATTAATCCCCTATTGTTTAGAGTATAAGTAGTAAATTCCTTGTTAGGGCAACACCCTTAGGCATATATAGATATTCAAACTGCTGGCAAGGGGAAGCCATAGAAAATCATAGTTCAAGGCATGGTTGATATTAGAAGGAAATCCCATATGAAATAAAGGAAAATCTTCAAAAACCTTGGTCCAGACACAGAAAAAAAGGGTATTGCCCGGGCAACTAGGGCAACCCCCCTGGGTCGGCCACTGATATCTCTATGTGTCTGATGGTTCTTGAATTGCTATTTCAGCTTTACCTCAGAGCTTGCTTGTTCTCTTTCTCTTTTAGATTGTACACCAGAATGTAATGAACTATCTGCAGTTTCTACAGGCATGTAAGTACAGACATTGATTTTTTAGGTCACCTGAGACAAAGTCTCAAGTGACCTATTGCGATCGCCTTTTGTCCGGCTGCGTCCAGCGTGCGCCCGTAAACAATTTACATTATCGACTTCTTCTCAAATACCCCTGAACCAATTTCAATGAAATTTTGCAGGACAAAGGTCAACAAAAATAGTGGTCAGTTTAGTCCCAAGACCCANCCCAGCCCCCAGGGGCCTGAGGGGCAGGGCCAAAAAGGGTTGAATTTACTAAAATTTCAAAAAATCTTCTTCTCAAGACCCCGATATGGTAGAATCAAATACTCTTCATAAATGGAAGGGTCTTAAGGTGCTTTACCAAAATTGTGAATTTCTTGACCCTGGGGTCCCACGTTTCCCCCTGGGGAGGGGGTAAACTTTACTATAGTTTATATAGGGAAATCACATTTTGGACCAACATTTGTTTAATTTCCATTGGAAGTAAT